TATATAGATAGAGGATGTTATATTAATATAAATAATAATAATAATAATAATAATAATAATATATTATTTGATTGATTTGACATTTTATGTGTTATAAGTTCCAACATGTTTCATGTTTCATGTTTCTAAGACATTCAACACCCAGAGGTATGGTTAGCACTCCCCAAAATTTATGCCTTTTCTGAATCTTATAGATTTTCTCAACGGTCAAAAGGAGGAATAATATTTTTAAATTATCAATCCTTTCTCCCACAACTCCAACACCATCTCTCGTTTTCCGACGCCTTTCTTCTTCAGATTAATAACAGCTTACACCATTACTTCTCTCCCTCAATATCTGCTCCTTCTTCTTTTCCTGTTCTTTTTTTTGTTCTCAAGATAATCATCAATTTCATGCTTTCCATCTTTTGGGTTCTTGATGTTTATTTTGCTTCAATTTTTCGTATGGAACAGGCATTGGGTTGTTTCCGTATCGATTTTCGTTCTCAGGGTAATCATCAATTTAATGTTTTCCATGTTCTGTGATTTTTTTTCTGTTCTTGATCGATCATCATAAGATTAATGTTTTTTGTTTCATCAATTTTTCGTATGGAACAGGCTCTAAGAGGATTGGGTTCTTTATTTTTAGGTAACAAAATCATTGATCTAAGACTTTATATATGTATATATATATATGTTGATTTCCTTGACTCTAATCACATCTTATTCATCCAACATGCAGCAATGCAAATTGTCACATAGTTTAATTCTTTCGAAGCAAGTGTATTTGACTTACAGGTTTGGTGGCTTATTACACTTCTTTCATAATCAATCATAACTTCTTTAGTAAATCCCATGTACAGTTACTTTTTTGATTCACCTAATGGTAATTAATTTCAGTAGTATCCATAACTTCTTAATGCCAATAAATCATAACATATTTACGATTGCAAGTGCCGATTGTCACATACAAGCGTTCATGTCTTGTTTCTGTAATGTGGTAACCAGTTATCCATATAAAAGTCCTATATAACTTGGAGGTTGTATATATAAAGTAAAGAGGGTGATCAGCAATATGTGAGCAATTAAGGTTACTGCAAATTTTTCTTAGGAGGATCCTCGTTCTTGATGAAGTTAAAAGAGAAATTAATGGCATCAATAAGTATATGTTGCCATGTTGGATGTTAGAATCGTCATGAATATAGTATCTGATTACAAAGTCTGGATCTAAAGTCTAATTGAAGGGTGGTTGTGAGTAATTTACTAATGTATGATTTATTACTTTAACGATTGACTAAAACGGCTTTCATATGGGAAATAATAAGGATTTTCACGATTTTTCTGGGACAATCTCAATGTTTTAGAGAAGAACAGGTAAGAAAACTTGAGCTTGAATGAAAAAACAGGATATAGAGGAGATTGTTGGTTGGATAATCAAAGATAGCTGGTAAATTAAACATTCATAATTAGTGAAATTTTGGAGATTTTATTGTGCTTGGGCTATTGCAGATATAAAAAAACTGGCCTATAATTTGAAGGTATAGAATCAAGGATGATTGGGATGTTGGGATCAAATAGATTGTGTTGGAGACTTCTACCAAAACAAACAAATTCAAACTAGTAAGCAGCAGTAGTAGAAGTGAAATGAAGTAAATAAAAGATGTTTAAGGCATGCTTTGTACATAAAGAGAACTATATCAATCAAAGAAAATTATAAGGGTGATTGTGTTAGGATGTTGATCTTGCATGATTTAAGCACAAATTGAGTTCAAACGCCTTCTTATGGTTAAAACCTGGATAATTGATGCTAATTAAAGCTCTTGATGTTAAATGAAATATTGTTAATGTCGTCGTATGCCTGAAAAACATATGCATTTTTGATTAAGTATTGAAAGATATTTGGATGTTCAAGGTCAAAGAATCACATCGTATATTAGTATGGTGATATTATGAAGGGAATAATGATCAACTGAGTTAGAAGTTCATGGTACATCAAAAGTTTTGAAACTATCATATAATAAAGAGGTAACTATTCTATAATTTAGAAGTTCAAAAGTTGTTGGGGAAGTACTAGACAAATTATAACAAACTTGGATCTAAGCTAAAAGTGAGGGTGACTGAGTTGGCGTTGGATGTTAGCAATGTTATTAGTGTAGTATATAAAGTAAGTTGATGTATGAAAGTATTGTTGTGATCTTGAGTATGATATATGCTAGAATATTCAGTGGACAATGCAAGGATACTCTAAATTTTCGTATGATTTGTTTCTGACGCTAAAGGACAAGTTGGAGGATCCAATCTTAATGAGCTTTTAACGTAAATCAATGAATAGGAATATGTTGGATGTTAGTAATTTAAGAGTGTAGTAACTGTCCTAAGATAAAACGAATTTGTATCAAAGCAGAAATTTAAGGGTAATGGGGAGTTCTTTTTATTAAATTGTTATTTTTGAGGATTGACAAAAATGATGTCTCTCAGGTCTAAATTGTTTAGGGGTGGGGTAAAAACACATTAAGGGGATTAGCAATGAGAACTATACCAATCTAAGAAAATTATAAGGGGATTGTTGTTAGGATGTTGATCTTGCATGATATAAGCACAAATCGAATTCAAACGCCTTCTTATGGTTAAAATCTGGATAATTGATGCCTAATTAAACTATTGATGTTAAATGAAATATTGTTAATGTCGTTGTATGCCTGAAAAAACATTGCATTTTTTATGAAGTATTTAAAGATATTTGGATGTCCAAGGTCAAAGAATCACATTGTATATTAGTATGGTGATATTATTGAAGGAATAATGATCAACTGAGGTAGAAGTTCATGGTACATCAAAAGCTTTGAAACTATCATATAATAAAGAGGAGACTATAATTTGAAAGTTCAAAAGTTGTTCGGAAGTGTGGGTAATCGAGGGTCTTTTATGAATATATTACATTCAATATTGACTAAAAAGATGTTGTGTGAGTTAAGATGAATTTTCAAGATCTTTTCGGGGCAATCTCGGTGTTTTAGCGGAAAAAAGAATTATGAGAACTTAAGTTCGAAGGTAAAAGCAAAGGATTTATAAGATTGTTGATTGTTGAATGATTATATATCATTCTTTAGCCGTTCATGATTAGTGTGAATTTGGGGATTTTGTAGTTATAGAGACTGTCGTAATATAATTCCAAATGCAACGATGCCTATAATTTAAAGGTTTAAAAGATTGGGAAATTGTGATCAAATTGATTGTCTGTGTTAAGTTCATTATATTAAAATAAACAAGATTCAAGGATGAAAAACAGCAGTAGTGAAATAAAGTAAATACGAGAATTAGTGAAATGGAACAGGTTGGATGTTCAAGGGTACTAGAATAATATTTTATATGAACATGATGACATCAAAGAGACGTGATAAAGTGAAACTTGAAGCTAACAGGTTACGAGAGTATTGTGTTGGTAGATATTAGAACCACATAGAGAACGTAATGGTCACCTTCGAGGTAGAGATTCTGTGAGATCGATCAAATGCTGCTGAAATTAAAGAAATTTAAGGCATGGTATGGAATTTTTTAAAGTGAGATAGGTATGTAAATATGTATTTGATTAAGTAACTTGAAGTTAAGAGATTAAGA